TATAACTTTCCTCATGAATACTCTTCTTAAGTTCTAGGACATCAAGTACATAAACCTTATATTTGAATCTCATCACACCATTCTCGTCGATTCTAAAATCATCAAGTGGTTGACCCTGGATCTTTTAAAGGTGATATTTAGCAAGAATCTTCAAACATTTCTTTCTTATCTGGCCTAGTCGCTTGTGTCTTGAGCAATGTTGGTCTTTACATTATTTACCTTCCCATGCACATAATGTACAAAGACTATTCCTTATCCCATGAGAAACAATCATGATTCCTTTGTTGAGCTTCCATATATCAACTTCAAATTGAATTGATTTGTCATTCTAACATCATCTAACTTTACTACTGAAATAAGGTTTATATCTGGAACATGTATCACCTCCTTCAACGCGAGCTTATTTTCATTCTTTATAACTTCAGTCACCCTATCAATGCCGACAAAGTTGCTTGTGACATGATTGCATGTATTTACCATCAGTGGAAGAACATGCTTGGGACAGGGGGGGTCACGGCCACCCCAAACTTTTATTTTTTTTTATTTTTTTATGTAGTGAAAATACTAAAATAGCCTTATTTATATTTAAAAAAATAACAATTTTACCATTATACTATTAACTAAACAAACCCTAATTTATCTCATTTCAAAATATGCAGCCTCTCTTTCTCTTTCAATTCAAGTTTCAGAAAAACAAATTTTAAAATCCCACGTCATTGCGTCGCTGGTGCCTGTGCGAGACTCGTTCAGCCAACCACCAACGCCGCCACCGGAGACCGTCGTGAGTTTGTTTCGTTCATCTTAATCTTCTTCATTTAAAATTGTTCAAAATAAATTACTCCAAATCCACATAATATGTAAAATTCTTGTTTTCATTATGATTAATTTATATTTTATTTTATTATTACTTATTAGTTTTCAAGTTTCTTTGAGTTTTCTCACAAAAAGTAATCTACTACATAATCAATTTGTTATGAAAAGAAAACACTATAGTTTGGCATAATGTGTTACTTGTGAACTATTCTTATTAATGTCATTGACTTATTTTAATTGTTGTAGCTTATTGTCATTAAATTAATATTCACTTATTTTAATTTATTGTAGCATCTCTCTGGTATAAAATTGCTAATGTAGCATACTGTTATTAAACTAATTTTCTTTAACTCAACCTTTAATCGTTGTAATATGATTTTGTGTTCAAACTATTTTAGAATATTATCAAACTTTTTCAATGATAGCTATGAAAATTTTATTCATAACCTATTTTTAATTTCATACCTATATAATATTATCAAAAACTTGTATTTTTTTGTCTTCAATTGTTTTTACAAAAAGCAAGTCAATAAAGAAATAGAAATAAAATAAGTTTGAAATGTTGAATTATATTGGATGTTTGTTGCTAATTTATTACTAAGTTACTAACTTATTAATATTAGTAAAATTGAATTATGTTGGAGTTTTATTGTGTTGTTTTAATTTATTTAATTGCTTATGCAGCACAAAAGTGATAATGAAGAGTAGACAAATTGATTCTTCTTTCAAGAGGAAAGAAAGAGATGAAGAGAATTTAACACCTATGTCTGAACCTACAAGAGTTCACGAGAATCCAAGAATTGAAGAAAACGTTAATAGAGTTTGTCCGAATGACATTGAGAATTCTTTAGAATGCTGGAAAACGTCCTTCAATGTGGGAATATCCAGTAAATCAAATGGATGAAATACAAAGAGCTTATTTAAAATGGGGTCCATATCAAATGAATTTAGAGCATTATCCATTGTCTGGTAAAGAAGACCATCAATGACGTTTTCAACACACTTGGTTTAGCCTTTTTCCTTCATGGTTAGAATATTCGCGTTCAGAAGATGCTGCTTATTGCTTAGCATATTATCTTTTTAGCAAAAGACCAAGTGGACATCCTGGTTCTGATGTCTTCATTTCTACAGCTTTTAGAGGTTGAAAGAAAGTTAGAAATGGAAAGAATTGTGCATTTCTTAAACACATAGGGAAAAATCCTTGTTCTCCACATAACAATACTATGAAAGCTTGTCAAGACTTGTTGAATCAAGATGGTCACATTAGAAATATTATTCAAGCTCAAAGTTCAATTGAAATTATGAAGAATCGACTACGTCTCAAGACTTCAATTGACACTGTTCATTGGTTAACTTTTCAAGTGTGTGCTTTTAGAGGTCATGGTGAAAGTACAAAATCATTAAACCAAGGCAATTTTCTTGAATTGGTAAAACTCTTAGCAGGTTACAATAATGAAGTTGCAAAAGTTGTGTTGGAAAATGCTCCATCTAATAGCAAGTACACTTCACATCTAATTCAAAAAGAGATCTTACACATTCTTTCAAGTAGGGTGAAAAAGCATATTCGTGAAGAAATTGGTGATTACAAGTTTTTTTATAATTGTAGATGAAGCGCGTGATGAATCCAAAAAAGAGCAAATGTCTCTTGTTTTGAGATTTGTTGATAAAGATGTTTTACACAAGAGAGGTTTTTTGGTCTTGCACGTGTTAGTGACACTACATCTTTAACTCTTAAGCAAAAAGTTTGTGATATACTTTCTCTGCATAACCTTGATGTCTCTGACATTCGTGGTCAGGGGTATGATGGTGCTAGCAATATGAGAGGAGAATGGAACAGTTTACAAGCACTCTTTATGAAGGATTGTCCTTTATGCATATTATGTTCATTGTTTTGCTCATCGATTGCAACTTGTTTTGGTTACTGCATCAAGAGAAGTTAAACCAATTCATCAATTTTTTGAGAAGCTTACTTTAATTGCCAATGTTTTTTGTTCTTCTACAAAGCGCCACGACGAGTTACAAGCTTCTCAATTAGATGAAAATAAACACTTATTAGAGATTGGTGAGATTGTAACTAGTAAAGGTGAAAATCAAATTGGTACTTTAAAGCGAGCTGGAGATACTCGTTAGGGATCACACTTCTCTTCTATTTCTAGCTTAATGAGTATGTATGAAGCAACTTGTCATGTTTCAAGAAAATTTGCAAAAGAAGGATTAAGTTATGCTTCACGCGGAGATGCTGATAGTGCTTACAATTATTTGAATTCATTTGATTTCATATTCATATTGCATTTGATGAAAGAAATTATGGGGATCGCAAGTATGCTTTGTCAAGCTTTACAACAACAATCTCAGGATGTAGTTAATGTTATGCATTTGGTTAGTACAACAAAAACTCTTATTCAAGATTTAAGAGAAATTAGTTGGGATGAATTGTTTGCTTCTGTGAAGTCTTTTTGCGAAAAACATGATAATAAGATTCCTAATCTTAATGATGTTCATTCAACAACAAGATTTGATCGTTCTCGTCTTGAAGATAACCAGGTAACCATTGAGCATTATTTTAGAGTTGAAATATTTTTCACTACCATTGACAAACAACTGCAAGAGTTGAATAACAGATTTAGTGAGCAAGCGATTGATTTGTTAACTCTAAGTGGTGCTTTGGCTCCCAAGGATAATTACAAGGCTTTTAACCTTGATACCATTTGCACTCTAGTTGAAAAATATTATCCTATGGACTTCAATGAGTAAGAGAAGATTAATTTGAAATTTCAACTTCAGCATTTTATTATTGACGCTCGTCAAGCAACGAGTTTGAATAATTTGCCGACTATTCAAGAGTTATGTTCATCTTTGGTTGCAATTGAAAAGAAGGAAATTTATTATTTGATCGATAGACTACTCCGCCTAATCATGACTCTGCCTGTATCTACAGCTACTACGAAAAGATGTTTTTCGGCAATGAAAATTATTAAGACAAGATTGAGAAACAAAATGGAAACTGATTTTTTTAGAAGATAGCAGGACAATTAATATTGAAAGAGAAATTGCTGCAAGTATTGATTTCGAGACTATTATTGATAATTTCAAACTACTCAAAAACCGTAGAGTATTATTTTAAGATATTTTTATATAATACTCTTTAATCATTTCATGTTCAACTATGTGTTTATTATAATTTAGATATTTTATATACATTATAGGATAAATATTTGATTTATAAATTATAGATTAATTTTGTGGTCACCTCAAGCTTTATAGTCACATTCCACCACTGATTACTATAACAAAGTCTCATTTTTTTTTATATGATGAGAAGAATCCTTCCTAAGAGGTTACGTGAAAGGATGATCCTAAATCAATTATCGAAATACAATCATCTAACACTAAATGTAGATATAATTTTCATCTTTAGTAAAAATATTCTCATTAATTGATACAACTCCAATAGCGGTCTCGTCTTCTTTCTTAATTGATCCACTCTATGTAATTCCCATCGTTAGCTTAATCACATCTACATCACGAGTGTGGCAAATTTAGTGTTTTTCTAGGCTGGGTGTTGGAACGGTTACTTGAGAATAAGGTTGCATTCAGATTAATGAATTTAAAATGGAGCATAATAATATGAAGTGGAACATAACAAAATTGAACCACGATTCGTTTCATTATTTGAATATTTTAATTATAGAATTTTCTCCTATTAGATGCCCCTCAAATTGGATGAAACAAAAATAAAAAATTTAATTGACCGAATTATATAGTTATACTTCATTTCACGTTGAAATCTAATTATATATCACTTCATTACATGCCACCAACCAATTTTATAGTTAGGATGAGAACCAAGTGGCAGTGTATTTTGCTCTATCAAAACATGGAGGGGTTAAGATCCTCTCCATTTCTCTATTTCTCCATTTTCTCCACATTTCTAAGACATAATATTTAGTTGGCTTTATACACATAAAACTATAGCAATGGAGTTTTCCATTTCTTTTAAGAATTGGAGAGGATCCTTACTCCCTCTACATAACCTATGGCTCAGAGTTCTAAATCAAACAAGACATTTATTATTTAACCGTTCAATACCTCATAAAAAAGGTTGAAGTTAAAATGATCGCACCTCAAGATGCAATTTTAAATAATACAAATAGCTTGTTCTTCAAAGTTTTCTCTTCCTTGTTTGCTTAATGCATATTGTCCTTCAAAGTTTTTTCTTCCTCTCCTATACATGCTTTCACCGGAGTCTCAGATTCCTTCTGGTTGGTTTCGACATTTTCTGTTTGAGGCACACTTGTATTTTTTTCTGCTTCAGCTTGTCGACGCATAGCTTGTTCCTGTAGTGTTTTCATCATCATCTCCGATGTTTTCTCTTCACCTTGTAGTTGCATTTTCATTAAAAACTCCGCCTCCTTGTCAAGAGGCTTGAAGTATTCCTCAATGGCTACCTCCTCCAAAAATGAACCAATCGCAGTGCGTATATTAATGAAACGAAACCATATATCACACAACTTAATATAACAGCTAAAGACCACAATATGCAATTTGCTAAAGATCACAAAATGTGATTTTTAACCCCCCAAAAAAAGCAAAATGAAAGAATGGGAATAGTCCAAACTCAATACCAGAATAACTAAGGAAAATTTTAAATTTCATAGGGAAGTTTGCAATGTCATAGTAGATCTTCATATTCGCAAGTGAAGGAAAAAGATTGAAATTTTCAAAGAAAATTACCAAATAAAAAAAAAATTTAAATGCTAAAAGTTTCAGATTTTTCATGAGATTACACAACTTACTGTTTCTTCCAGCTTCTTATTCAAAGCTTGCATCTCTTCAACCATACGACGAACTTCAGATAAAATGATCTGCTCGGGTACTTTATTTATGGCGGCTTTCTTTGCTTGTGCCTTTTGTGATCAGAGAATATCATACACATCAGAAATTGATCAAACAAGACAATAAATATAGGAAAGTCTTTGAAGGCAAACAGAGATGGTTATGAATTAGGAAATCCCATTTCACCGCAGCAAAAAATGAGGTCAAATTCATATTTTCCCAAGGTAAGTAGGAACTTCGAAACAAAGAGGAAACATATCACGAGTTAATATCTTAACTACCCTGTTATATTTACATCTTTAATAAGATTGATAGATCAGCTCGATTAATAGCTGACCCTTCTTAAGCAGACTATGGATCAAAATGATGATGGGATAAGATGTTTGTCACAACTCTAACCGACCAGACATGCTTACAACAACCACAACAACCAATCCTTATCTCGCTAAATGGAGTTGACTACGTGGATCAACTGTCGCCATAATGTTTTATTTAGGACCACGATTCTCTCCAAATTGTTAATCTCTAATAACTTCTCTTATAGTTTTTTAAGGTCTTCCTCTACCGCTACCTCTTACGCCTCTCCATCAGTTCATCTGATCTACTCTCCTTACTACTGAATCTAAATGTCTTCTCTCTACATGCCCAAACCACCTAAGTCTATTTTTTACCATCTTTTCTACTATAGATGCTACCTCAAGAGTCTCTCTAATATTGTTATTTTTAATCTTATCATGTCTAGTCTTAACGCAAAGCATAAAAAATGTTAAACTAATTCGGAAACTAGTAAATGCACCACATCCACTCCATTAAATCCATTACAACTTCAATTCACTAATGTGGATTCTGTGCCGTTTTCCATTGTCTCTAAATTGAGACTCACCTCATGGCTATTGCAATTTGCAAAGAGCCTCAGATTCATATGAAATCCCCAAGTCCCACCACCTATCAACATTCATATGTTATCATCTCAAATGATTTCTAAAAGAGATCAAAACTAATTCAATCAAGAATGTAAAGAGGTTCGTAAGATAAGATGTTAAACCTGTTGTACACGTTGTTCAAGCTGCAGCCTAAAATTCCGGATTCTTCGCTCTTCATATCCAGAAAGTACCCTGGCATAAAACATAAATTTCTTCCCGAAGTCCAATAACTTATTCATATTGGCAAATCATCAACACAGTTTACTATATAATTTCCTGCAAAAAATAAAATAAAAAAATCAACTTCAGAATTAAACCTAGGTGGTTACTCGCAGGGCGATCGCGGCGGAGCGGCCGGAGAGTGATGTTAGGTGCGGCGGAGCGGCCGGAGAGTGATGTTAGGTGCGGCGCGCATCACTGTCGCGGCTGCTCAGATGCGTTTCACGAGAACTAACAATGGAGTTTTTTTTTTTTGAAAATTAAAATAAAATTGAGAGAAAAGGATGAAGAATCGAAGTAGAAGAAGGAGGGATGGTGAAGAAGAAATGAAAATCAGAATACTAACCGGCGTGCTTGAATTACAGAGGCTGTTGCATATTTTGCTAGGTTAAACGAAAAGGGAAGAACTCAATTAAACTTTGAAGTGCAATAAAATTAATATTATTTAGTAACTTTTTTTTTAAAACGGACCATAAATTGAATAGAAGAAACATTTTTATTTTAAAATAATTGAATAAATAACAATTAACAGTATTTTAATAGGTCTTTACAAATTTTTTTGACACAGTCCGTACATTTTTCATGCCACAGACAAGTACAAAGAACAATGACAGAGTTATACAATTATGTGATTAGAATTGCTTCCTCCTTACATTATTTTTTCAATAAAAATTTTATTTAAAATTAATGTTTCTTTAGAAAATATTTTATTAGAAATTAAAACAAAACTATTTAATATATTTGTTACATGCTGCATTCTAATTTTCTAATAATTTTAATTTAATAAAAAAATAACAACAATAATAATTGATATTATATTATTTCAGGATTTGAGTAGGATTAAAAATAAGTCGAGTTGTACTTGTCTTATCTTGACTCGATTTGATAAGAATTGATTTAACTTAAAATTTGAATTGAATTTGATTCAGATTTTTTTTTTAAAGTCCAAGCTCAACTCATTTTAAATTTATGAACAACTCATATGATCGTTAGATTTAACTCGTTTTCTCTTCACACTTAAAAGCCATTTTTTTAAATATATTTTTTTATATATTTGATATTTTAAATTAATATATTTTGATAAGAAAGTATTTAAATAAAATAAAAATATAAGATTGATATTTTTATTTGATATAAAAATTTATTAAATAAAAAAAGTTTAATCTTGAACCAATATATATATATATATATATATATATATATATATATATATATATATATATATATATATATATATATATATATATATATATATATATATATATATATATATATATATATATATATATATATATATATATATATATATATATATATATATATATATATATATATATATATATATATATATATATATGAAGTTGATTTTATTTGTATAACTACTTTTAAAAATATTTTGTTCATCAATTAAAATTGTCACATTAAAAGAAAATAGATGGTTAAGATTTGGAATAAGTCTTTAAATTTATTTTTAAATTTAATATAATTCTTCTTATATATACTTAAGCTGACTCATTAATCTAACAAATTAAAATATAACATTGATAATTATTTATAACTCAATACATTGTATATATATTGAAGGTGAAATGACAATTTGAACAAACTTACACAATATGTAATGTGTAGGAAAATCTATCGAAATGGTAATTAGCATTATCCACATGTGTTAACAAAACAATAAAGATGACATAAATTAATGAAAATCATTATTTATATATTGAAATATAAAAATATTGGAGCAAGAATTTTCTAACCATCATAATATCATTTGATAGCAGAATCAATCAATTGACTAAACTTGTGAAAGAAAATTTACTGCATAAAATAATTTGAATAAAAAATAAAATAAAATTTGATAATAATTTTGCTAGAATAGGTAACATAAATTGTTTATATTTTGGAAGGTCTCGTAATAAACAGCATTTGAAGTCTTATCGGTGGCATTGCCATTGTCGGTGATAAGAAGTTTTAAACCATCTTGTGAAGTAACTTTAAAAACGGCAACATATAGTTGACTATGAGTAAAAACAGGTTGTGGAAGGTAGATCCCAACATGTTTAAGAGATTGACTTAACTCTTAATTATTGTCATTGCAAAAGAAACAGAAATAAAAAATTGTCTGTGCTAAAATTTGAATGAAATTCTTATGTCAGAAGGAGTCAATGACAACCCCGGAATAAAAACTTTTTGGTCAATATTATTTTCTGAAATGACTTTCAAACACAAAATTTCTCAGTTGAGTAATAATGAGACGCGTGCCATTACATAATCCCGATGATTGGTCAATATTTCTGAGTAGCATAACAGATACACTAGCCTTTAATTTCAATTCATGATTTGGACCATAAAGAGTTTTTCTTTATTCACATGGTGTATCAAAACTCAAATATGTCTTAACTTCATCCGAAGAAAAAAAAACATGTAATCATTTATTAGTTCAACAACTTCATTCTTTGGTGTCAAAATAGTCATATCTTAAAAGTATGATAGATCATGAAAATTCTCAGAGAAAGATGGATAAGTATCAGCAACTATATAAGCAATGGGGTCTCCTGAATTTCAATGCTTAAGTCTCTACCATTATCCTCGCCAATTTTTCCTTCTCCAATACTCAAGAACCAATATGAAAAATTGTTTCATTTGTTTTACACATATCTCGATGATCCGGTTTGAAGTCTCATGTTCTTGGTTAATGTAATTACTTGACAAAAATCTCATAGATAAGATGAATTAATGTTGGCATGCACAATATCTTCTCTTGTTCCGTTCAGTATAATAGGGAGGATTTGTCTAAAATTACCACCCAAAACTACTACTTTACCTCCGAAGAGAATATTTTTACTATTAGGATTGGAGGATTTAAGAATATCTCTAAAAGTTTTTTCAACAGCTTGAAATCAATATTTATGCATCATTGGAGCATCATCCCATATAATAAGTTTAGTCTTTATTATCAACTGAGCTAAAGAACTTTTTGGTACAATGTTGCAAGTAGAAAATTCATTAATATTTAATGGACTAGCAAACCTTGAATGTGTCGTTCGACCACTGGGTATTAGCAACACTGCTATTCCACCTGCTATTCCACTTGAAGCAACTGTGAGTATGATCTCACCTCTAGAGAGTATTAAATGTCAAATTTTTTAATACTCACTAGTATACAGTTTCTATAACATATTTGGAAAGTAAAACGTACTCCAAAAGGTAGTTCATAACACTGAGCTAAGAAAGATCATAATTTTTTTTCCTAAATGACAAATATGATATTATACTTGTAATATGAAAAACTTTGATGTATTCTTTCTCTGTAAAATTTGGAGAATATGAAAAATATGGAGGTTGAATCTATTTGTATTAAAATCATGATAGAGTAATGTGAATAAGTGCAATAAAGTAGAGTTTTTGAAATTGGTATTTAGAAATTGTTAAAATTGGTATTTAGAAATTGAAAACATGAACTTGAAAACAGAGAAGTGAAGTGTTTGATTCAAATAATGGGGAGAAGATACGCATGGAGACTTTAGGGATTTTTGTTCATTAGAGTAAAGAGGTGGTGGAGTAATTATGTGGAGTCATAATTAATAAATAATTAAATATATGTTATTAGAAAGAAAAAGAGAATTAGTAGTTGAGAAAAAAGGGGAATGTATTTTATTCAAAATCCTATATTTATTTATTTTAGGTTATCATATTTCTTTTCTATATTAAAGATATTTTATTCAAATATTTGAAACTAAATTGATTTTCTCCACTAAACTAATATTTTTTTCAAAAACAAATAAATTTTATTTAATAATTTATTTTATTTTGATGATTTATTTTAATATTATTATTGTGTATAGCAAATCTGACAATTAAAAATAATTTTTCAACAATCATTTTATAAAAAAAAAACAAATGTCCAACCATATTAAAGATAAATTATTTAATAATTATTTGATTACTTTTTTTAAAATAAATTAAAAATACAATATTTAATATATTATGTCTCAACTTAAAATTTTCAAATCAATTTTTAGTTATTATTATTCAATTAAAAAATTAATAAAGATTATCACATAATTGAGTGTAAAATTAATTTAAAATATATTAAATATTATAATTATATTAAATATTATAATTAGAATAAATATATAATAAAATATTATAATAATAGCCAACCATAGGCATAACACTCTCTTTATTATATTCATATCATATGTACCCCTTCTTTCTTTACAGGCTCTGATACCACACTGTCTGGGAGCCTTACATGCCATGAAACTCAGCCTTAACTGTATTATCCTCAAATAGCCAACCATAGGCATAACACAGACTAACAATTAAAACTGAAATTTCATAACAGCAAGGACCGTAGTATGGATCAATGGTCAGATGTTTTCTGATACACAAGATCCTCATTTAGAGGCAGGTGTAGAGCATACTTGCATCTATTGGGGAATTATGATATGAATATAATAACTAAAGCTTTGAGGGAGAAAGAAGAGATTTTTAGAACATGTTTGTTCTTAAGCACACAAGAGAGTTTATTTGTGAATGCTTGATTAAAATATGTTACAAGAGTCCTCCTTTTATAGCCAAGGAGGTACATATAGGACAAAAGCAACACTATTTACAAGCATGACATTTTTAATATTATATGAATGCCTTTTTCAAAAGTCCGACACACTTATCACTTATGGATTACATTATTGTAGTCTTATTGCACAAAAAGACAAAAATTTACTATTCATAAGCATGCTTGTGATCTTTGAAGGACACTTGTCCATTTAGTCTTTGCAAATGGGTTCATGAGAGGGGGACATATTTTGATCAGATAAATTTTCATCAGAAAAGCAATCTTCATAGCGAGATGACTCACCCTGCCAGCTATCATCCATCATGTAGGTGTGATCTGCTAATCTCATATTAGCTTCTTCCACTTGTCCTTCAGAGAATTCAGCTTCCATTAGAGAATCATGTTTCTGTTGTGTGGCTTGACTCGAGCTTTCTCCAACTTCCGGTCTTATGAACTTTT